TTACTAGGATTAAATAGGGGAAGACAGTTCTTAGAATTTTCGTTTATATTGAATTATAATTATATGTAATTTATGCAAGATAGGCTTCAGTCTGCAAAAAGCCTGAAGCATTTAAAAGATGTGAACCCTTCTTGCCACACTACAAAATCTGAAACACAGTAGTTTTGGTGGGTCCCACTTATGAAGTTTTAAAAACACTTCTGATAAAGACAGTAATGTCACTCATTAATGACAGAAAATGAAAATTATCACAACAAAAATAAAAGGTAATCTACATGCAAAAAGTCTGGAAGTGTACACTGAGCTCAGTCAATTTTTTAACAATGGATTGAACAGATTTATTTGGTTTCCTGTCCACAAATTATCTGTGAAAGGGCACTGTTTTCTGGAATATATTTTTATTTCAATGTACTAATATTTAATGCAAACAAATTACAGCTTCTAGTTTTGCTATAAATTGCAAGCATCTGGTACACTCTATTCTATAGCTGTAGAAATGAATGGAAGTAACCTGAAGCCTGTCAAAATCTGTGTTTGAGCTCTGCAGTTGAGTATATGTTACAGATGGTCGGGTATTGCTGGTGATTCTTCATTGTGCATCCCAGCTTTTGATAAGCATATTTCATTTAGTCATTCTTGAGCATCCACAGGAAAACAGTTTTGTTCTTTTACCTAAGGCCACTCCATCAGAAGTCTTGAGTGCTATTTGGCTTTTGTATAAACAAAGGATAGTTTGAAAACGTAGTGTTATTAGTTTTTTGAAAAAAAATCCTACTTACTTGACCATTCTCACTATTCAAGTACTTGTAGTTTTTATCTCTTCATATGCTATGTGTCTTAAAAATCAGTCTCTCCTTTATTGTCTTTCAACAGCTACAAGCTACCTTAAATGTATCCTTGTAAACCTGATTCCTGACAGAGACTGAACAGTCAACACATACTAGGGATAAATACAGCAATTACACCTATTTTCAGCTGTATCGCTTTTCTACATTATTATTATTATTATTACTAAGCAGCTATTAAAAATAGAGCAGCCTTCAGAGCTGCTTCTCCTGTCAGCCTGGCAGAGCGAGGGCTGTGCCTGGGCACACGTGGTGCTTTTGGCAGGGCTGTGTGACAGGGCTGTCCACGGCAGCACTGGAGCCTTCCCAGTGCAAGCTATGTGGGACCCCCTGTGGCAGGAGCTCCAGCATGGACAGATGAACAAACTGCTCTGGTTTGTCCTTTCTTGCTCCCTGCTTTTGTCTTGCAAGTTTCTGCTGTTGGTTTTTGGTCCTTCCACCATAGTGCAACTTGGCTACTCAGAGATGCTACAGGTATCACACAAGTGGGTGCAGAGGCAGAGGACATGCACTCATCTGCTCCACCAGACCCATGCTTTCCCCTGAAATGAAGGGAAATTGTCCTCCAGAGCTGTCTGAGTGCGAGTCCTTGACTCGCGTGGGTCCTTCTGTTTCAGCCCAGGAGAGGGCAATCCAGCACCCAGACAGCGGCCAGATTATCCCAGCCCTCCTTTGGGGTGTCGAGGGGCTCTGTGGTGGTTAGTGCCTCGCCAGAGAGACACAAAACGTGGCTCTGTGTCTGCTGGTAAGGTCCAATGGAACACTTCCATCCAGCTGGGAATCACAAGCCTGTGTCCTGGCCCCTCTCTGCTCTTGTGCCTTGTTTCGTGTTCATGTGCAGCATCCAGACAGGGTCAGGTTGCACACATCCAGTGCAGTGTGCAGGTTTGGGGACTGAGGAACCAAAGACATGTCCCAGTACTTCCTTTCTGGCCTCTAGGTGCTGGTGTAAGTCTCACTACTTTGGGGTGCAGCAGGATTTGCATGTGCATACACACACTGAAAGACAACTCTGCACACAGTTTCCTCATCTGTTGGTAGCCATGCATATGCACAGGCACAGGAATAGACTCATTTTCAGATTTGGGAAGACTAGCCTCTTCCTCTTTGTTTTCCTCCAGTTCTTTTTTTTCCTCTGCTCACATCAAGCTTGTTTTCCAGATTAAGGAATTTATTGACTACCTTAAATCTTGAGTCATATATTTGCCTTCGACCCCTGGGTCACTTTGGGTAGCAGCTTGATGCGAATGGTGCAGGGGGTTTGGAGCAGCCCAGGCAATGGGGCTGGCTGCATGCCCCCTAACCCACACCCCTAGAGCACACACAAAACTTAAAAGGCAGCAGATCCAAGTGGGAATCGAGATGACACTGTCAGGATCCCTGTAACTTTATGTTCCTTTGATTCTGCCTTCTGTTTTACTGTTCTGCACATCACACCAGCCTAGATGATAACAGGCAACTGGAAGAGCTGCTGGAGCCTGTAATTAGCAGGCTCCTACCCTGGGACTTGGTTCTTGCTGGTGGGCTGTAGGTGTGGGATAATTTGCCAGTTAATCAATGGGAATTATTAAAATATCACTGCATATTTTTGCTTTGTGCTAGACCCATACACAGAAGCTATAAGGGGGTTGATGGGAGTATCTGGAATTCCTACTCATGAAAGCAAATCCTACGGCCCCTTCCTTTCTCCCCACCTCAGCCAAAATAAAAATACTAATATAATTGCCATGTTTAACTTCAGTGGAGCAGTGAATTTTAGCTTAATCAAAAAGTCCTTAAAACAGGAACAGCTTACAAGCTATGCAAAATGCCACCATTTTAATTACAGAAAGCCGTGTCCTTTCTTGGACAAATGTTGTATTTTGAATTTGCTTTGCAAAGAAGGTAAAATCCATAACTTGGTAGATTTCTGGTTGGGTTTTTTTTTAAATATATTTTTTAAAGTATGTTGTACTTTGGTTATAAATGTGTTTATTAGTGCTGTAACTATTTTTTTCTGGCCATTTTGGTTTCAGGTTTTAAGGTAGCCTTGTTGGGATCTTTTAGAGTACAAGGTAGATGCAGGGAAGTTTTCTCCTAGGTGTGAAAGTTATGTTACAGGCTTTTCATGGGGTCAGCAAACCCTGGCAGACCATTGTCACAGTCACTGCAGCACTACTGAGCCAAAGTTACAACACTATTTATTAAACTCAGCACCTCCAGTAATGGTACTGGAGTGGCAGTGTAGTCTTGCTGCATAGCTGGGGTGCTCTTAAAGAGAGAAGTGATATTCCTCATGTATTATCTGTTGTCTCTGTGTTTAGTAACAGAAGCTGTGGGAAGTCTATAAAAACAGCTCAATACGTCACTTCTTATGGAAACTGTTATTCCATAAGAACATTCAGAAATAGTTTTGCTAAACAACTACCAGTAGGGGAAAGATAAATTATGATTCCGATCAGTGGTCAGTAGAAAACAAAGCATGAAAATTTCATATTTTATTCTGAAAAGAGAGGTCAAACTTTCCAGAACTAGCCAAATGCTAGTGAAAACTAGAATTTTTCAAATATGTCTTAAAATATTCCTACATTCGGTCAGGTTTGAATTAAATTTTTGACAGTGGGTAAAGCCATATCATGCTCAAATATTTTTCGGGATTATTACAAAAATTTAGAAAAAGTAATGGCGCGTGCCTTGATTTCCCCATCTGTGAAATGGGCGATCCCGCAGCGTTCATGCAGAGCGCTCCGACTGAGAACAGTTGTGGCTGCAGCTCATTGTTATTCTCTTAATCATATTAGTTAACTAAATCTGTTCCTAGAGTGGTTCCATTTGCTTGAATGAATTTACATGAGAGATTAATTCAGCGCTGTTTATTGTTGTTTTTACATTTATCCAGTACTGTAAATAATGCCTGATACTTTACAGCTGTGTATGAGGACAGTCTGTGCTTCGAGGACTTTTTTGTACAGGTAATTTGAAGACTCTCCTCCTAGACCTTGCACTTCCCATTGAGCACATGAACCCATTTTGTTTATGGTACATTTTGAGGACTTTTCGTTCACGTGGTGTCCGCTCCCAGCACTTTCCTGCAAGTATGATTCAACAGATAAAGTTCATCCCTCACCTCCAAGGGGTGATCTCCTCCCCTTGCCCTGCCCTTCTCCCTCGGGACCCCCTTCCCAATGTTAGATATTCACTGGCAACGCTCTCTAACCGCTGCTGGATTTATGCCCAGCAATGATCCTAAAAGCTGGGAGCAGTCTCCCATCTAGCTGCCGAAGCCTTTCCGCCGGACAGCGGCGTCTAAAATGACCCATTTGTGCAGGGCTGACCCCCGCCGCAGGGCACTGCCAGTGCTTGTCCGGGGGTCCCGCTCTGCCACCCGCCCCTTTGTGCTTTCCCATTTTCCGGGAGGTTTCTGCGGCTGGCACCCGAGCGCTCTCCATTGTGTGAAGTGTGGCGTGCGGGGTTATTTCTTTGTGCCGGCCGCGGTCCGTGCCGTGCCCCGGGCGCGGCCCCCCCGGCCCGGGCAGCGCGCAGAGGCCGCCCCGGGCGGGCAGCGGGCGCTGCGGGAGCCGTCGGGCGCGGGGGAAGCGCCGGCTGCCCGCGGCGGGATGGCCGTGGCCTGTGTTTATGTATTTTGTAGTAATCACATTTCTGACATTACCCGCGGGGTGATTGGCTCAGGCAGCTTTTAAACCACCTATATGCTAACGAGCCCGCCGCGGCTCCGGCGGGGGCCTGCGGGGGGACAGCGAACCCCAACCCGCACCTCTGCCAGGCGGGGAGAAGGGGGGGGATGGCATTTCTGAACTAGTCGGCAGCGCGGACAGGAAATGACCCCTCCAGAAACTGCTGCTTTAAAACCGAGCGGCGGTGCCTGAAGCTATCCAGCCTCCCTCTCCGTGTGTGGAGCCTGTGCGCTCCCGCTCCCCCCACCCCCCGCCCGTCTCCGCCGGAGCGGGCTCCCACAGCAGTCCCCAGCCAGTGCGTGCAGCCTGGATGTGTGTGTGTGTGTGCGCGCCGCTACTTTGTACTGTGAAGAACACACAGCCCATGTGCTCTGTATGGATGTTGATGATACTCTGTGTAGCTTGAATCTCTGCAAGCAGGCAAGATGTCCAGCACACCACATGACCCTTTCTATTCTTCTCCTTTTGGCCCATTTTATAGGAGACACACACCATACATGGTGCAACCAGAGTACCGAATATATGAAATGAACAAGAGGCTGCAGTCGCGAACGGAGGTAAGTCCCCCAGCCTTGTTTTCCTGTGCATGGACCGTGGTAGGTTTCAGCCCGAATTCCAGCTGAAGCGTCCCACTAGACAGTACAGTATATGCAGGCATGAACCCTAATTAATTTAGTAGTTTAATTGGGTAATCCCTCATTATGTTTCCACGCAGAGCAACTCTTTGAGGAGATACCAGCTTAGGCTGAAATCGTGAAATTACAGTACAGCACTTCAGGATTGATTATAACGCTGGTCTCAGGAAATTTCTTTGCCTTAGTGTGTTGTTTGCTCAGGATCTGTCCTGCTGGCATTTGCAGCTATAATATTGCAAAGTATTTCTTCGGCTTTTGCACAAAATTAATTCTGGAATGTTGCAGGTTTAGGGGGGAGAGACGAACATTTCTTTGGTTTTGTTCTGTAAACTCATTAAAATGAAAAATGGATGATAACTGAAAAGAGGAGCGGAGTTTTAAAAACTTATTCCATGGCTACTCTTAAAGAACACATGTTTGGGACAACCGACAGGAGAAATTTGTGTTTACATTTAGAATGCTATTGCTTTTAGCAAGAGAGATGGTCAGTTCACTACTTTATCATATAGCTGTCAAAAGTACCCAGCAATGTAAACTACATTCACTGCTGGTTATGCTTTGTAAAATGTGCTAGTGGTTTGTACACCCTGGCTTCGAAATCCAGATCAGCCACTGAAGAGAATATACAGAAAGGGATGGGGAAATGCTTTTGTCACTAAAAAAAAAAAAAAAAAAAAGAAAGAAATACTAGGGGCTGCATATTGTTATTTATGTGGTAAAGTAAAGCACACTTTTCAAGTATGCTGAAGTGAAAGTGAATCAGGCTGCATTTCTCTCCATGTGTCTGTGTTTGTGCAGCAAACATTCTTGGTGCTGCAATTTTTCATAGTAGTTTATTAGTGGTGCCCTGAAAAGACTTTTTTAAAGTATGAATCTTTTGTAGTAAACGGCTTTATGTAGTGGCAAATATCTGCCAGGTTTATGACACGCAGCATGATGAAGGATCTCAGGTTGATCTGTTTGTTGTATTGTGATTCTTTAAGATAACAGGAGGTTATCATAAAATAAAACACACATGCCTGAATTGTCAGCTAAGCCATAGAGAATCTGTGACGTTTAATGTATATGATACAGCTAACGAGATGTGACCTGCTTTCTGATTGGGTACCGCCACGGGGTAACTGCTTTTCTATCACTGTTACCACTGCCAGGCTTAAAACCTTGCTTAAGAGTAATTGGTAATACACTTTATGCCGGCTAAAAACTCGAAGCAGCTCTTTGCTCCCAAAATCATGGCAAGTGTTTGCCAGTTTTGCCCCAAGTTGTTGGCTGCAGAGGGTTGCTGCCATTTAGAATGAGGGGGTTTGGAGGGGTTGTTTGCTGCTGCTTGTTTGTTAGTGTCTTTCAACTCTGTTCCTTGCATTCCTGTACATATTCGTGTCATAATTTATAGACTTTTTCAAGTGAGAAAAGCACATATGTATCACTGAGTGATTTCTTCAGGGCTTTATATACAACTGGCTCTAAAAGCTGTAAGTGCTAACTTAGCCTTTTTTACATTTTGTTTTAGTGGTACTTTTAATACTTGTCCAGTTCCTGATTGTAGCTCCTTCACAGATGTTACACTAGAAAAGTTTTTGAGGGACTTGTGAAACAGCTTTCCCCTCCTTCGTTGCTGAGGTGCAGCACCTTTAATTGCAATCCTTGCTGCGCAAATTCAGATGGATTGTTGTGGGCAAAGAGCAATAACCCACTCTTTCTTGCTAGGAGTGCCTTGCTAGGTTTCAGCAGCATTTTACTTTGACAGACAGTATTTAGTTAATGAAGGCCTTATGCTCCAGAATTTCTTTTATTTGCTCAGGATAAAAATTCTTTTGCTTTGTGACTGTTCACTGTTTACATTCTGATTCTCTGTTTTTTTAGTTTATGAGCTCTGTACTGTAAGCATTGTTGTGCATTGAAATGTGTTTTTTATCTGACTTCAGTTCATCTCATTCATCCTCCAAGTAAAACATCTACATAATAAACAAAAAATATTAAACTAGTTTCCTGGGACACTAGAGCAGCTAGGTGTGGGCAGTCTGTAAAGAATAATGCTGGCTTCTTGGGCAGGTCAGAAGTGGAAGTTTCTAATTACTTTTTGCACCTCCAAGCATGTTTGGGATTGGTAGGTGGAGGCTTCTGGAGCATGTATAACTAGCTCTGAATTTTTTGAATCCAGAGTCCTGCATGTCATGAAAGGAATGTGCTTGTGCTCTGGGTGATAGAGGCTTGCTGCATGAACGTTTCTCTTCAGGCAGTCTTTGGAATAATGTAGGCACTGGTCTCTGAAGGAGGCTGCTTGTGCTCTGAGAGCCCCAGGGGGTAGGTGAGCACAGGCAAAGCAGCTTAAGGCGAAAGGAATTACAAAGAAACTCTCCAAAAGACTGGGGGTAGTAAGCCGGCAGATTCCACGTGGACCCAACTTTTGCAGAGAGACTGTGGCAAATGAGGATGCCTTAAAAAAATGGGAAACTACAGCCGTTATCCCAAATATATATCCATGGAAAGCCTTTGGGATTTTTCAGGTTTCATAAAAAAATAAAAGTGTTCTTAATAACCCTGTAGAGCCAGATTCTCTACCTTCTCTTGCAGAGGTGGAAGTTCCAAGGCAGAGCAAAACATACATAATTTAATAAAGTTGTACAGAGGATGGATGGAGAGCCTATGGAAGGAGCATCTGTATGTCATGTCTATCTGTTTTCTCCTTTCCATTCTTGTTGTAGTTGTCCAAAGCTTACATATAGGTGAGAAATTATTTAAAAAAAAAAAAAAAAAAAAAAAAAAAAAAAAAAAAAAAGCAATGAGTGGGTAGAAGCACCAGTGGGGAATCCACCAGTAAATGCCATTCCTACTCCTGCTCTCCCCGCATCAGAGATGATGGTATGTTGGGGGAGGTAGAAGTGTCCTCAAAATGGCTCAAGGCTTGGGGACTGTTCCTGAGAAATCCACTGCTTCCACTCCAGTTTTTGTCAGCATTGGATGGAAGGGAATAACAGTCAGTGTGAAGGATGTGCTCAGTGTATTAAGCAGACAAAGTACAGAGTGATAAAGAAAGGTCATTTAGATGCAGCATAGCTATCTTTGTTGTTCTTGTTTTCTTTAGGAAGAAATGGAAGTCATGAAAGTAAAGAATTAGCAGCTTTAGCCTGTGCTAGATGTGCAAACCTTTGCTCTCCAAACTTCTTATAACTTTATGGGCTCCTCAGACAGAACCTACAACTGCCTTTTTAAATTCAGGGTCAGTCTTAGGCAAAGAATTCCAATCACACCCAGGCAGGGGGTGGTTTTATGATGTCAGTACTGGCAAAAGTCCACCACCTAGCTAATTCTTATGTGATCTAAAGTAAATTAGAGAGTCTGAGTTACTAAACAGTGTGCAGGAAAACCGTACCTTCCTTAAAAGTTGTTCAAAGAAATCTAATGTGGTAATACTTTTTTCTAAATTAATACATGCTTTCTTAATAACACTTGAGGAGCTTCCAGTGCCATTTCGTAATGCATCAACAATCCCTATTTAAAGAAATAAAATGAATATTTAAATGTTTAATAATCTCTGGCAGATATAAAGATAAATCTTGCTTACTTCTCTCATAGTTGATTAACTTCTGGTTAAACAAAATGCAGCTGTTTCCTTGCTCTGTGTGTGGTTTTCAGCATTTCATTCCCATTCACTCATACTCAGTTTATCTTAATATTTTTATATCTGTGTTAGTCTAACATTTCAAGAAAGGAATCCTGTTGTGGCATAATCAGCAGTTTCTGAAGTTCTAAGGTAGCAATACACAACATAGGTAAATGTCTCTGTTTTTTGTAAAACTTGATGTTTAAAAAGGCACCTCTTTTCCTCTTTGATGTTGTAAATCCTTTTCTGTTCTAATTTTTAATCATTTGAAATTGCTTACACTTAAAAGAAAAAAGGTGATTATATCTTGTATATAATTATTCGGTAACATTACAGTGTGCTGTGAATAGATCACTTGAAATTGCTGACAGTTTAAACTTTGAGGCGTTGCTTTATTGTCAGTAATCAAAGAAATGTATCAAGCCTTTCACTTCTTTATTTAGTACCCTGTATTGTTAGAACTTTTGTTTATCACAATACATTAAATTCACCTGTATCTCTCTCTGTCACTACAAGAGATTATGCCTTACATCACCACTGGATGCAAAACACAGCTTCCCCTCTGGCTAAGAGAGCAGTGTTTTAAGGGTGACTAGAGATCTTGATTAGTAGCATATTTGTTTTAAAGACAATCAGCTTAATCAAATGATATCACACTCCTATTAAACTGTATAGTGAATTTCACAAAGATTTCATGATGGAAAAATATATAAAGAAAATTAAAAGGAAAATAAAGGAGGGTGTTATGATTATTTAAAAGCTGCTAAATGAACTGGAAGCTTACACAGATATTCATACGCAACCAAATATTTAAAGCAAATCAAAGCAAAACAAATTTTCTGCAGTTTAATGGAAGTCTCTTATTTTTCTTCCTCACATTGCTATCTGATGAAATAATCTTCTTCTTCCTGATGCATTTTTAATAGATTAGTCATAAAAATCTATGTTGTGACATCACATTTGTTCGCCTAGCAACTTGGTATGGCAAACAGATCTCTCATATTGTGTACATAAGTCTGAGTTTATCCAATGAGTTTGTTTTGTTGAGGGGAAAACACATAAACTTCTGTCTCAAAGTAATTTTGAGGAAATATTATTTCACCCACAAATACACTAATACTTAGCAATTCTAGGAACATGAATAAAGTATTTTGAGACTATTTATGAACCGTGCTTTGCTGAAACTGAAAGGTCAGTGTTAAAAGAAAACCCTTGAATGCCTTTAGGCAGACACTGACTTCGGAATGGATTCAAGGCTCTTTTTACCTATTTTCTTTTATTTCATACTTTTTTTTTATCCATTTAAAAATTCAGTTGC